AGCTTCCCCTCCAACTGTCCTTCTGAGCGGTTTCCGCTCACGCTGCCACATCGTCATCAAGGGTGCTTTCCCAGCTTTTCGTGTTCAACAAGGTCTGACCCAATTAATTCATTTGTACACTCGCGCTGGGTTTCCCAAGGAGGAACTCCAGACAATCTCTGATCAACTCTTGGTTCAGCATCAGAACTTCCCATCACAGTGTCAAACAAGGGCTTCCCGCTCGCTTGCCCACGTTTCCGGTTTGGTCTCTTCGGGTCGTTTTGGTTGTCATCCTTCTTTCTTTCTTTGGTTGTGGTTTTCCTTTCCTCTTGGTTTGTTGTGTGGTTTTGTTTTTTTTCGGCAGCTTCTTGGCTCAACCTTCGCTCGCTATTTCCTTTTTGCGGTGACATTCCTCCTGATGGATCACGCTCAAGGTCGTGCTTTCCATCACCATTTGGCTCGGGCCCTGATGCATTTGAACTATTTGGCGGGGCTTCTTCCCTTTTTCGAACCCTCCATTGAATGGGAGGACTCTTTGCCTCCTCAGAATCTTCGTCTTAACAACATGAGATCACGCAGCCTGCACACTTTCGTTCCTTTTCCTCCATCGTCAGTATCACCAACAATGGTAACACACGGAGGGATCCCGTCCCACATGGTGGAAAATCCTGAACCAAACCTTCGTCCCACCACCTTGCGTCCTCCAGCTCATATGGAAAGGGACCATCCATCCACCAATCCTGTTGGCATTCACAGTTCAGTTCCCATGTCGGATCCCGATCCGAATCCAGAAAACCCATCCAGCATTATACCTGGACGCGGAATATCTCGGACCACAATCCCAGTTCCGGTCCGTTCCAAACAACGGGTCTCTTCAACAGTTGACTCACACCCAAAGAAGAGACAAAAATTGTCCAATCCTCCGGGCACTCCACTGTCGATGGCAAAGAGCGATGTCACTCCTGGCCCGCTTCCAATTACCTCAGAAGCGGTTACCAATGCCCTCAACTCTGATGACTCTGATGGCGATGCCGTATCAACAGCGGCTTCCTTTCATGATACTGAAACCAATTTTGGCCACCGTGGCGAGTCTACATCCCACGTTACCATTCCTCCTGGTAACTCTGCACTCACGTTGACTCCCAATCCCAAGGCACCAGCATCTCCACCACAGCCAAATCCAACGGATCCACCTCGTGATCCACCATTCCGTCCATGGACCAGCGCAGATGATCAAGAGCTGATGAGTATGAAACAGGACACAAAGTCCCGTCCTTCTTGGAAGACGATCGGTGCAAGACTTCATCGCGATCCCCAGGTATGCAAGTTGAGATGGGGCATCCTGAAACAAACCCTTGGGACTTTTGACCAACACGGTCGTGCCAATCCACCCCTCGAACCAGAGGCGGAAGACTAACTAACAGTATTACACTTTCAATGCGTGAAAAGACGTGAGCCTGCATGTAGGGTCACTTACCAGATCTCCTCTCGTTTGGACAATTTCCTTTCGTGTGGTTTTCTTTTTTCCTTTTCTCCTGTTCTGTGTTTGTCTCTTCTTTCCTTCCTGGGTTTTCCTCAGCAAATATGGCTCATTCATCAGCTTATAGTCGAACCGTTCCTGAACGTTCTCGTTCGCGGGACGAACACATGTGGCAGAGTCCTCAATCCCAACAACGTGGACGATCATATGATCAAAGACCTGAGGTAATCCCGGCACCTCGACTCCGGAAAGTACTTGCGATTGTGGATCTTCAAGCGGTTCGTCCACTCATGACCAAAACCCATGATGATGTCATGGATGCAACGACATGCGATGTCACACCGTCCCTGACCAAGGTGGAAGAACGAGCCCTGTTCACCTACAATGTCTTACTCAATACTCATCGTCTTGAATCCTTCACTGTGTACAACCTTCTTTATTGCATCAGCCAGCATATCTGGTACACCTGGGATCACTACCTGCCCCCGTCCTCCATGGACATCAGATGGCAGGATGAAACCGGCGATACATTTGCTCTCCGAAACGAACTTCGACTTGTTGACCTCCTACATGATTTCCGGCCTCACTGGCTCGACGGTCAAGAATGTGGCCTGTTGTTTCCAACTGACATCCGACCTTTTAGGTCTCACCTTCAGCCTTATATCATGCGCATGAGTTGCCATGAAGCCCTTCCCAATCGCAGCATGCTTCCTTAAGATCGAAAAAAGCTCCTTTGCATTGCCGGTTTGTCTTGGTTTTCTTTTTCGTGTTCCTTTCCTTGTTCTTTTTGATCTGATTAAAACTTTTTGGATTCTTCAGCACTTGGCTCCAGCTATACCATGACCAAACGTGATTCCCTGCTTGCCGGTTTCACGTATCCTTCATCTTCCATGAGCATGCCACGTCGCCATTCATGGAGATCTCGTGGTCATGGACATCCCAGTAGCACTGCTGCTCCTTCGGATTCATTTACTACGTCTCGCAGTGACACTGATCCTACAGCTCCTGATGCTGGACCTTCCATCCCACCTGCAGGACCAGGTGACTACACATCCCATTATGGGTACTCAACGGCAGACATGGCCACACCCATCCCAGCTCCAGCCGATCACCAGACTCCAATTCTTCCCAGACTTGCAGGAGAAACCTATCCACTCCAGAGGGAATTGGCAGAAATTCGTCGTCAGCTCCACGCATACTACTCTGTCGAGGTTCAAACAACTCATGACGACAACTCCCAACCGGCACTTCGCCGACTTATGGTGACGGAAGTGGACCGACGTGGGAACCATCGAAACAGGCAGCCGGAGTTCTTCTTCAATGGGATCATTGGCCACATTCGTGCTGGCCGAAGCGGTTGGATTGACTCTTGGGATCAATCCTCCCAACTCGCCAACTACTGGCGTCGCTATTTCCAGATTCCAGAGATTCCCCCGGATGGAAATTGGCTTCCCCATCAATATGAAACTCCAGAAAGCCCAGCATCGGTACAAGAATCTGGCATGGATGACACCGATTCCATCATCGCCAATGTGGATATTACTCCACCTCCTGTCCAGATTCAACAACTGGCAACGTTCTTCTGGAACATTCTCAACAATGACAGGGATGCCAACATGGCAATACTCGAACGTCTCGAGGATCCAGATGATGACCTCTCACGACACCCGGTCCAGATCTTCTCGGCGGCAGATTTGGCTCATCTTGCCAGTCACCTGGCGGAATCTACACGCACATTGTCGGATCAAGCCCGTCGCATGGAGGCATTTTCTGACGAGGCCTTGTGAGCTTTAGGAATAATTCAGCAGATGATTCTTCCCTGTATTTTGAAGCCATTTCCGCTTCAGGGAACGGATAGTAGCCTTTAACCGCTTGTGAATTTCGAAAAAAGCCTCGCGGCAGCGAGGCGTGTGTGTGGACCATCTGCACAGATGTAAAACTTCCTTCTGGTTGTTCCGTTCTTTTGTTTTTTGGTTCAACAATTTCTTCTTTCAATTTACGCAGGGGGATGGAGTGTGCTTCAGATGTCTCCATCCAACGAAGACGCATCTGTTGCACAGTGATATGGATTGGGGACGCTCAATCCACGTACCTGCTCAATCTTTTTCATTTCCGTCAATGGCGACCGGCTAAGCCAAGTACCGGCATGTCGTTTGATTTTCCATTTCTTCATTATGGATTATGCTGCATCCGAACCTTCCTCAGAGCTTCGTTTCCAATAGGTTTCAAACCACTGTACGGTTTTCGCAATCTGATTTACTGCTGACTTCGTCAGATGGAACAGTTGCATCTAATCAGGATGGTGAAAGAATTCTTCTTTATTGGTTTTCTCGCCTATAGTCATCCATTTTCTCCTGTCAGACTTTACTGGATTGTTTGTGCACGTGCGATGCATTCCACATCAGTAATTCGATAAGATGTTTCTGAGCAAGTGTGAGAGTGTTGTGTGTGAGCAAGTTGTGTGTGAGTAAGTTGTGTGTGAGAGTTGTGTGGGAGTTGTGTGTGAGAGTGTTGTGTGTGGGAGAGTTGTGTGTGAGTAAGTTGTGTGTAGGAGAGTTGTGTGTGAGTGAGTTGCGTGTGAGTAAGTTGTGTGTGTGTGTGTGGGGAGTGGTGTGTGAGCAAGTTGTGTGTGAGTGATTTGTGTGTGAGTAAGTTGCGTGTGACAGATTTGTGTGTGATTTGAGAATGGGGGCGGGAGATGGACGCGGAATGGAGTACGCAACCAAAAACTAGAACCCCACACAAAGATTTGAAGTGTGTGTTTCGGTGTGTGTTCCTGTATTTATATTCATGTTCATTCAATTTGGGGAAAAACTGAGTAAACGTGAACATAAAACACAGGAACACGCACGGGAACACACACGGGAACATGCACACACACACACACACCACACACACACACACATAAATATATACAGTATATATATATATATAGATAGATAGATAGAAAGAAAGATAGATAGATAGATAAGTAGATTGATTGATTGATTGATTGATTGATTGGATTGATTGATTGATTGATTTGATTGGTTGATTGATTGATTGATTGATTGATACATAGATAGACAGATAGACAGATTCGTAGATACTGTAGATAGATAGAGACACACACACATATGCATACATATCTGCACGCACAAATATTTTTTTTACACAAATATATAGACATATATCCGCACATATATTTATACTACGCCTGCATACGCGCACACGTCAAAATTTGGTTTCGATGTTGGCATGCCTGGGGGCCTAGATGCCTTTCATCGGCGAGACTGGGGGGGGACCAAAATGATACACAGAGACAAATCAACTTGAAACGGATCAGTATCAGCTGACGTACCGTTTTACAGCATCAAAAAACCGACATGCCATGCTGCACCCTTTCACCTCCAATCCTCATAAAAAACAGACAACCGGTTACCGGGTCATCCCTATGTGTAAAATAGATCAACATAGATAGTGTGTACAAATACACGGGCACACACTGCACATTATATCCCTGCAAAACGCCTTGATGTCCTTGTGATTTTCTTGCTGCCAGGGCTCTGCGCCCATCAAATCTCTCTTTGAGAGGCACGGATCTAAGGAAAAAAAATTGGACCGGACATCAGAGCCGGAATTGGGTTGCCAATGGTTTGCAATATTTGACGGCTAGCTTGACCAGCAGATTATTGCGTGAGAAAAATCCAAAAGATTTGGCCGTACGCATGTTGTTTGCCCTCACTGTAGTCGTCGCCTTGTACCTGGGGGGAACAGCCATGGAACAGTCATGTCAAGGCTCATGGATGCAGCAGTGGAGTTCAAGAACCAAATGACCGAGCAACTTGACCCAAAGAGCAGGATACTATAGCATGTTGGAATTGTACCTGGAACATGGTTAGAACTGCGACATTATATGCTTCAACTCGAATGACGACATGAATATCACGGATGTTTGTGCTGGAGTTATTTGGAGCTTAGGAAAGCTATTGCCGCAAAGAAGTCAGTATTGACCATAGAGCTCAGAACGCACGCCACCTCTTACTTGAAAATCTTGAAACCATGGGAATGCCTCAGCTGGCTAACACACATGCTCAATCCAAGTGCAATCAGCCAGGTACACAAAAACAACGAAGATGCCATATGCGCAGTTGTTTCAGAAGCCCTTGTTCATTCACGACGCTTGGTCCTCAGAAGGACAACACTCACCAGACTCAGAACACGCAGTGCCGCTACAAATCTGTACCGCATTCGGTCCGGTCACTTCCTCTCACTTGCGGTCAAGGCAGATGACTTGGTGCCTTGGCAGATGCACGGAAGCGGCGTGAGTCTGATTTGAAAGGTGTTTCTGAAACATGGTGTCAAACATAGCAAACACCATGAAACAGGGTCCTGAGTCAGGAGCTTCCCATCCTTTGACCTAGCACAGCCTAGCAGGGCCTAGCCTCCAAGGAGAAGTGCCTGGAATTGCCAGATTGGACCAGGCCGCACAGCCTACGGCTGGAACCCTGCACGTGCTTAGATTGAGCGCACTCCCCCTTCTTTTTGTGTTTGAGAAGGTGATGCATGGCAATGTGCATCAGAGAATCATGCATCATCATACCACATCACATCATATCACCACACAGCAATTCACCTAGCTGAGATAGGCAAAAATTATTTGATTATACTGTGCGCATCTGTTTGCGACGTTTGGAGATGTTTAGAGTTGCTGGATGTTGCGTAGGTCTTCTTACACCTTCCCCAAGAAGTTGCAGTCTGAGCCGGAGCGTGGATCCTTAACAGCCGAGGCGTCGCCCATGTGAGGGTAGCATGGGTAGCAGTTACGCACGTGGATAATCCATGTTTCCAGTTTGACAATGGTTGTCTTGGGGGAGTGCATTTTTTGCATTTGCGGGAGTTCACTAACATCTCGCGCATGTGCCAGGACCACATATCATTTGTTTACGGAGTGGCTTGGACGAAATGCATTCAGCTCATGTCAGAATGGGACGAGCTGCAATGACCACACCGAGTTCAGTGTTTGGCAAGCAAAGACGATGGTGTCATGGCCCTTGGGGCCGGACAAGATTTGTTGGACTTACCAAGTCGGTTTCACTCTTTCGCACTACTTCACTGAGTGACTGACAGCTTCACTGAGACTGTAGTGGGTGCTAGCTTCCTGCCTTCTTCACATTCACAGCCACCAGAAGCATACTGCATGGAGCCCCAGTCTCTGGCTCACGTTTAGACCGTGCAGTTCACTTGCTTAGGACCTTAGGAGCATTCTTTCCATTTCTTTCCTGATTTGACTGAGAAAAAGGACTTGGCCCTTGGCCGTAAGTCAGCCAGCAAGCTTGCACATGGTATGATTGGCAGTCGTCAGGGAAAATGTGTGCGTTTACCTTCACTGAATTCATTTACCTGGAGCCTCCACTGACCTCCGGGTACCACGAAGTGCCTTAAGAGCGATGGCAGGCATGGTCCATGCCGTTAGCACGCATGGAGCACGTCATTTTGTCCATCGCACGCGGGCGCTGGCCTCAGAGTTTGCTGCGAGCAGCATGAACGTGTGAGCCGAAGGAGCAAATATGAAGAGATGACAATAACACATGAATAAACACATGAAGAAACACGCATGCGCGGATTAATAAACATGATCGTGGAGTATTGTGGGGAATAAAGAGACAAGTGCCACAGATGTCCACATGTCCACACTTCATGGGTGTGACACGGTGTGACTGGTTGCCCAACATGGCCCAACATGGCCCAACCTGGCCCAACATGGCAGAAAACCAAGAGAAACTTCTGGCGCATCTGCGCAATTCTGCGCAGACCATCAAGCTGATGATCTGCCCTCAGTGGTCTGAAGCTTTCTATGCGGCCATCCCGGAGGCGGTGAACAAACCGACCTGGATTGCTTTGGTCCACATACCCACCGCTTGCATCCGCTTGCAGCATAGACTTCAAATCATTGTTTGAATTGCACCTTTGAGACTCCTTATGATATCTTATCATATCTTATCTTATGATCCTTTAGGGCTTCATCAAACATGAATAAACATTGAATAAACATATTCCTTCAATTCTTTAGCGAATCCATACGAGTCCTTTCCGAATGAATCCCCTGCTTGACTGCTTGGTACATCTTGGCACCTCACCCATGGCCGTCCGCAGGACTTTGATTGTGCCAGGCTTCAGGTGAGCGTCTATGGAGCCACCGCAGGGGAGCCAAGTGGCGAGGGATGCGATAGGTCCGATAGGACATGCAACAAGCCATAGGACAGTTCAACTTGGCAGAGGCCATCAGAGGCTAATAGGGCTCCCATTCATGGAGATCATTGCGATCATACGCGATACTGCAATATGCATTCAAATCATTCAATATACTACATCATCCATTCTGATATGATGGGATTTGATGCTAGTTGGCGCTATTTGATGCTGTCTGATGCTATTTGATGATGTTTGCATGATGTTTGCATATACAGTAGTTTGCATGATTCGCTTGTCTGTGAGCAGTTCATTGTCCGTTACGGCATCATGCAAGCGACGGCTGCTTGCAACGGAGACTGTTGTTTGATTTTCAGCACAGGCAACAAATTTGATGACGAAGGCGCTCAGCACAGGAGCAGCTGCCATGCCGGCCATGCCCTTCCCTGAGCTCGGCACAACCCTGACTTTTGTCCACCATGAATTAGCCACACAATCCACATATTCGCAGATTCGCAAGAGCGAGACAGTCGAGACACGGACTCAAACCCTTGGATATCAGATACCGACTGATACCGACTGATACCGCAACACACGACCGAGTGCCCCAAGATGGCGACGGGACCCCTTTTTGAGCTGCAGGACCTGAGGGGCTCCTGTCAGAGGCGGCATGGCCTAGCGGCCTAGCGGCCTAGCGGCCTAGCCGATGCTCATGACACTTGTGTGAAATATTATTGTGATTTTGCCATATTTTGCCTCTGTTATATTTGTTTTATTTTAATTTTCATCATTTTTCATCTGTTTTCTGGTTTTATGTGCAACGATGTGCAACGGTTGTAGGAAATGAATGGAAATGATTTCACAGGACCTGGTGCAAGACGATCGTCGTTTTCAGCAAAAATGAGAGCCACGGAAGGCTGTTTCGCCCTTGCAACTGGCGTTGCGCACATCCACCTGTGAGGGCTCTAACCATGAGGATGACTGGTTCATTGGTCGGGCGCACATAGACCTCACCACTGTTGGGGACCCCCAGGGAAAAGGATGACAAAGGAAGATAGAGCTGATGCAAATGTGATGCAAATGTGGCAAATGTGATGCAAATCCTTCAGTTGATGGCATGCTATTGGACATATTCAGACATATTGAGACATATTGAGACATATTGAGACCAAGGCTGTCAGTGGTTCCATCATAGCAGAAGAAGCACCCATCCAGGGCGGGACTGCGTCAAAGCAGGCGATCATACTATTGCTGGACTCTGGTTCCGAGTCAGGTCGTGGCATGTTGTAGTAGCAGTAACACAGTGTAATTGTAGCATGTTGTAAATGGTAAAGAGTTCCCAAAGTGATTTTCCATGCCTATGACTGGAAGATTGACGCCTGGCATACAGTCCGTAGATGTCCATAGAGTCTCTTGGTCTGACTTGCCGCCCTTCAAACCCGTGGCACAGATGCCCTACGTGATCCTACATGTCTTCAACTGGAGCTACTTCCTGCACACATGCATAGTGCTTTTAAGCCTGCAGGAGAGAGTTACTACAGGTTTCCGAATCCAGCCGTCTGTGGCTTTTGAGGCGTGATTTCCTTTACAAGCGTTGGGAGAATGAAGACGGATTAGGATCCTTCAAGCGCTAAGCCATGACATGCAAGAAAACCGAGTTCAGAGAAGCACACTAGCAGGCGCACATTTGACGCCGCTTGCAGGAGCTGAAGCTGACTACACCTGATCTGATATGTAATGGTGTACCCTTTGAAAGATTAGCCGTGCCAATTTCATCAATCAATTGGTCTCAGAACGCTTGTCCTGTGTAGTGGTGGCGTGTCACTTGGAATCTCAAGGAGAGATACGATGCAGCTCAGTGAAGGAGACTATGCAATGGAAGAATATATAAGCCATACAGTAAAAGGTTTTTAGGATCCATCGTCTATTAGTCAAGTCTATACTGGTTCATTCTCTCCGTTTTTCTCTTTTCGTTTTGAAATCTCCTTTAAGTGATACAGGTGATGGTCGAAAGGCGGCTCCGCCCACGTGTGGCTGCCAAGGGGGTTGAAGTCTGACAGGAGCATGTGGAAATTTGAGGCGCCCACCCGCCATCTGCTGCCACCATGGTGAGAACTGTAGAGATGGCAGTGCTGCCACCTGCTGTTGCTGCTCCTGGTCTTGGTGGTCATGGTCATTTGGGGTCATGCAGCAGTCATGCATACGGTCTTTAATGACCGATCGGTACCTGTAGAGCCAGGGCGCTCCAATTCCGCAATCACTTTCTCGAAGTTTGCGCAGGATACTGGTTGTTTTCGTTTTGTTTCTCTCCCAAAGGGCACGGGTCTTGCGAAAGTTTTTGCTTGTCATCACAGCTGCTTGTCAGAACAAAGAAAGTGGACCGAACGGCGAGAAAATTGTGTGAGCAGCATGTTTTGTGGATGAACATGTCACTGTTGTCCTCAACATGGCATGTTTGCTGGGTCTAGTTTGGCACAGCTGGCTGGTATCGACTTGAATGGCGAGATCATCACCAGATATAACCAGGCACACACACACACATATATATATATATAATATTCTGTTGTTTTTTGGAGGGGAGTTTCCAGATTGATTGTGCCAAATTCACAATTGAAGAGTGGTTTTGGCTGGATCACGTGTGGGTTGAACGACACCTTTGGATTGGAAAGGTTTGGTTACGGTTTTACCAGATAATCCCTGGCCTTGTCATTCCTTGGTCAGCGGTTGGTTCGGTTGATTCAGTGGATTCATTCTAAGATTCTTTGCTTTCGTTCCCAACTTGCTCTGAGGCTTTGATGTGCACTCGGGGGACGGTGTGAAGATGATCCCAAGGCACAGCACGGCACGGCATGGCTGTAGCTTCAGAATGCTTCAGAGTTTCTCTCCGATCTCTCCAAATTGCCAGCTGCCAGCTGCAGGCGGCATCATCAGCTGACACGGACCACAGATCCGATCCAGAGCAGCTTGCTTGGCACCCAGAGGACGCATTGCACAATGGGTCCTTCAGTTCCTTCAGTGGCCGGCTTGTGAAAGGTCTCTCGGGGATCTTGGGTGAGGCCTATCATCGACAACGGGCAGCAGTTGATGCTTTCAGTGGAGGCAATGCACATGGAGAAGGCAGCAAAGGACTGGGACCGCGGAGTGGGGATCAGGATGGATCAGGATGGATCAGGATGGATCAGGATGGATCATGTAGAGAGCATAGTGATAGTGGATTAGTGGCTGAACGGCATTGGAGATTGTTTAGAGACTTTAGAGAACTTTAGAGGCTTCGAGGATCAAGTAGGCCAGTGGATCCAGTGGCACGCAACCGGCAACTTGATTTGCAGGAGGCCTTGGAACTTTCAACGACTGGAGCGCTTGCATTTCGAAGGGTGCCCATGGCGTGCTATGAGTGATCAGATCTGATCAGAATCAGAATAATTAGCTAATTAGCAGGGTCGACACCAGGTGTGAAGTTTGGTGTTCTTCGTTAGCACAAAGCCTCGCATGACAAATCTGGCAAAGGTCGGCGGCGACTTTTCCTTTTCAATGCAACCGAAAAGGTGCTTCTGACATTCCTGCCACATAGCATTGCATCCATTTGTGCCAGGGTCCCAAGCATGACTGGAGCAAGTATCCCACAAAGGCACGGATTCAACGTGTCATTTGTGGCACATTCTTGCACCTGTACATCTGCGATTGAGGTTGAGATTGCGTTAGAGACAGTGAAGTGGGACAATCTAGGGAATAGTTTCATAGCTAAAAGATGCTGAAAGTATCTAAAAGTGATTTTAATAATTATTCATATAATACACATATACACATTATACACACTATATATACTTGTATGATTATATATATATAAATATGATTAAATATAATATATATATAGGTATATGCACACACACATATATATATGAATACTTTTTTTTCCTCTTTCTCTCTCTCTCTATATTGAACAATTCTGAATCATCTTAGATCGTATTTAGATCGTGATGTCGACTCAACTCCATGCGATTCTCTCCACGTGGGGACCACCGTGAGGACCAGGAGGAGGACGAGGACATCTTCGCCGAGAAGCCCTTGGAGGAACTCCTCAAGGCCCGCAACGATTTCATCGTTGGATCTCGTCGGTGTGTGTCAAGATGGGGAGCTTTTTTGATGCATCAAACAATGGTTATATCAACACATCAGCATGTTTAGGCCATTTTATGTCATTCTATGCCATTCTATGCCATTTTATTCTGTAGATATACCGACATCAAATACGAATACCTATGCTCAATCATACTCATGTGATATGATATATCGTTGCCATAGTGACTCGTTTTCTAGTCGGCATGAAGATTGCGGAGTGTTGTTCCGGAGTTCCAGCCAAAGCATTTCACCCTATCACAGCCACAGCAAAACTGGTGGCGTAGACATCCACAGGAGGGTGGTGACCGGGTCGACCTGCTGGATGCTGAGATGCCAAAGGCATGCTGATCATCAGCTGCTAATCATTACCCAATTCCATCATCACCATTGAACACGGACTTACTTTACTGCCCTTCTCAGTGAACAGAAGACAATGACTCGGGATGACTCGGGATACTGCCATGGGCGTTCATTTTGTAGGAATTGTTTGGGTGGATGGTCGTCTTGCTGTCTCGGGGTCCTGTGCATGCGAAGGAAAGGTTTGCTCCGGTCAGGTCATGTAGAGGTCTCTGCGTTTTCTGTTATTTTGAAGTATATAGTTGTGCGACTTTTCAATACTTTGGGGTTTTTATTTTGTAGTATTTTGCTCAATTACTTCATATTACTTCTGTATATTCCGCCGCGTCAGTCTCTATGTTGCAGCCTTCTGAGCTCTGTTTTGGGTTGGCAATTTTGGCCAAAGAGGACTCTCCAGACCAAGAAACCAGAGAATTCTTGAAGTTTCTCCTTGTTTTCCCGCAGCGGAATTTGCTTGTGTGATGTTGTGTGCATGTCTTTCTAGTCTAGCGATTGCAGTTGTACTTTTACACACTGAACAGATCTGACACTTTCCGAAACAAATTTGCTAGCAGTATGACAGCATGGCACTTTATTCCGAGGTCTTTGCTGGAGGTTTCAAAGAAGCCTGATGATGGACAGGCCGGACAGATGAGTCTGTGAAGCGAGGTGCTACGGTAATGACTGGTAGATACTGGTACCTGTAGTGTCAGTTGTGACACCACTTGTGACACCAGTTCATGACCTCAATCAGACAAGGGACTGAGGCGACTTTGATTGGTTTTGCATGTTGCCAGGGGTCAGATAGTGAGTGAGGGATCTCTTTGAGAGGAGAGGAGTCTTGAATTAAAACATACAACTGAGACTTTATATACATATTTTAAACATCTTTTTAAAGTATATCTTTCTCGTAGCTTTTTATCTTGTCACGTCCATGAGGTTGACGTCCCCAGGATGGCTGGTCCTTCGCAGGCCAGGGTGGTGGACTTCAGCAAGCGAGAGCTACGGCGACAGGCACGTAGTTTACCAGCCAGATGCCCAGTCTGCCGGCGACCTTTGATCGCTGAGGTCTCAGAGATGGTCTCCGGATGTCTCCGGTCTCATGTATTCGACGTATTCGAGTCCCCCTATTGGTGATACCCCCTCCCCCTATGGTGTGGTGTGTAGGTGGAATTACATATAGATATGCCAACCATCCTAACCAGAGCACATATCACGCGTTAGTCGAATACAGCAATGAAATGGTCAGCATGTAGAGGAAACATGTAGGCGGGGCTGCATATATATATAATTATATATATACAATATATATATATATATATTGTGTGTGTACTAACACCATGTAGGTACACACGTGCTAGGGAGGGACCATACCACGGGGGGAACCTTACCACTGGGGACCATACCACTGGGAGGGGGTTAGCAAACCGGGGACTGTGATCATATGTACAGTAGTACTAAATAATACTACATACGTACTATATATGTATATGGGCTATATATGCAGGTCATACTCGTGCCATGTACTTGACATGGAGCTCCTCATCAGTGGCGCAGTAAACTAGTCAGTGTCGAACATACTGCCACAGCATGTGCAGCATTTGATGCATGTCATGCAGCATGTCATGCTGTATGCTGAGTTGTTGAAGACAAAGTTCCACGACAGCCCAGAAGTCTATCAGCTGAGCGTTGCCGGCAAGGACGGACGCTTCAGACACATGAATTTGCTGGTGCTGAAGGTTGCCACGGGTAGAGGATCATGTAGGATCTGTAGGGGGCTCCAAGGAGACAAGATTAAGTAGGATCCATATACTTAGGACTTAGGGTGGAAGATTCGCACGGACTCACTAGACATGAAATCGGCTGATCATCCACTTGCATGTTTCAAACAACTTGAAAGGTTTTCCATGTTTCACTGCAGCCTGCATGTGCAACCTCCAAGCGAGGCAGCTCAGCCGCGCTTCAGCCGTCGCACTGAGCATGCAGCAGCGGATATCTCCAGGTGCCTGGCAGTTATTAATTTCGATGAATATTCGATGAATGTCGGTGACAGATACGGCGATACGGATGGTGATGGAAGGCATGCTCTTCAGATCTCTTCAGGCATCCGTAGGCATTTTCGAAGCACATGGGCATTTTGATGCCATTTGAGGCCATATAGATCCATTATTGGATTTATTGGGCTGGGCATCCAAGCACCAATGAAGGTGACGCTGCAAGTTGGTTATACAATGATTACAATACGTTACACACTTATAAGTCACTTATACATTCTTCTTTTATCTTCTTTTCTTTTCTTTTCTTTTCTTCTTCACGAGGCATTGCATCCAAGATACTTGATCCATCTTGACCCGGCAGAGTGTCAAGTCGATAGATTAACAGCAAGTTGGGAACTACCTTATGGCAGCTGAGTCAGCAGGTCGCTTCGAGAAAAGCCCATGTTCAGCAAACTGCACTGATGCTTGGATCAAAGCCGAGGTAGACATACAGACTTACAAAAAGTAACTGTGAATCAAGTGAATGTCATTTTGTTGCAGCTACAGTAGTCTGCGCCATGCCTTCTGCATTATCGTTAAATGTGAACACATACTGACACCATCGCACACATGGAACACATTCGGACGTGTGCATAGCCAGCCTGTAGAATTACACACGCATACACACACTCACTCGCACACACACACTTTGATCAGAAGCACGATGCACAATGATGTTAATTACACACAATGATGTTAGTTACACATGATTCAATATAATTAGATTCACATTGTTTGGACATGCAGAGTTTTGCATTCAACCCAAGTAGCCTACTTTCTGTTCTGTTTGGGTTGAGGAAACAAATCCACACAAATCCCACTGAAGCCTGAGCCAAGGGCACGAGCCTGCCGCTTTACCTACTGTGGACCTCCACTGATCATTGAGAGTGAGCTGGGTTGAACGCAAGCATACATGATGTGACGTGATCTCAAGATGTTGCATTACAAGCTCATCATGTTAATCCGTGAGAGTCTCTTGAGTTTTCTTTGAACTTGGCTATGGTTTATGAATGATATGTATTGAAATGTTATGATCATCCTTTGATGTAGAGTGCTGTTTGCAGACGACCAAGTCGCTGCAACTGCATTTTGTAGGCCTAGGGATGCCTAGGGGATACCAAGATGGACTTGAAGCTTCCTGCGCACGTGGAGGGATCCTGGGGAGCAACTGCCAGAGGCATGTTGCGCACGAAGAGCAATGCGAGAAGAGAGAAAATCATAGGAAAAGCAATGAGAGAACACGATAGAAGACGATAGAACACGAAAGAATAACAAGAGCTCCTATGGCATGGGGTTTCACAAATATTTTAGGCATTAAAGAAAACTATTTAAGGCATCAATATCAAAAATAAGGGATCAAACAATATTCATTTTTCCCGTGCTGGTGCAGTGTTTTGGCCCTTTTATTTATGCCCTTTTGAAATCTTGTGGTGTTTGAATCTCCCGATCCTCCAGTCCTCTGGTCTTCTGGTCCCTTGGTCCCTCGGTCCGGTCCCTTGGTCCTCTGGTCCCTTGGTCCTCTGGTCCCTTGGTCCTTCCGTCCTTTTGTGACTCTACTTGTAGTGCCTTAAAACACTTTTAAGTTTTAAGATAACCCTTAATTAAACCAACCCTAAATAAAAGCCTAAATCAGCCCGAAATAATCCCTAAACCAACCCCCAAGACAAAGTAAGTCTTGAACGAACCCTAAACCAACCCTCAATCAACGCTAAATTAAACCAAAACCAAACCTAAACAAACCCTAAACACACCTTACATAAACCCTAAACGAAACCTAACCCAACCTTAAATAAGTTGTAAATGAAACCAAAATCAACTTTAAACTTTAAACCAATCTCAAATAATCCGCAAACCAACACCAAATAAACCCTAAGCAACCCCTAAATAAACCATAAACCAACCCTAAATAATCCTTAAAGAACCACCTATTAAGCAAGACACGAACCAACACTAAATAATTCCATATAATTCCTAAGCCAACCTCAAATAAACCACAATCACCGCTACATAAATCCCAAACCAACCCTAAATTCAACCCTAGACTAACCCTAAACCAACCAAAAATAAATCACTAAACCAACCCGAAACCGGGACCTAGACCCTAAACCAACTCAAAATAATGCCCAAGCCAACCCTAAAGAAACCCTGAAGCAATCCTAAATTACACCTAAACCAACCACGAACCAATTCAAAAAACCAACTCTAAAAAAGCTTTGAGCAGCACCTGCATAAATTTTAAATCAACCCTAAACAAACCCTACAACCAACCCAAAATAAACCCTACATAGCCATACGCAACAGTTACATAACCGTTAAACAAACTACAAACCAACCCTAAATATACCGTAAATATATGTAAATATACTCTAAACAAGTAGAAATATTACGACCCCACTACCCCCACTGTATAGTCTACATATAGTTCACCACATGCGGTAGTTGCTGTAGCTATGATACCAACATTCCAAGTCATTGTACAGTCATCAATAACTGTATATATATATATATATCCCCAGAACTAGAAGCGTTAGTTCTTCCCTAAACAACCCCTAAATAAACTTTAAACCAGCCCTAAATCAACCAAAGTCCAACCCTCAATAGATCCTAAACAAAACATAAACCACAAAGTCTTAAAAGACACCAAAATAAACCCTATACCAGCCCTACATAAATCCCGAAAACTCTTAAATAAAGCGCAAACAAGCACTAAACCAAGTTTAAACAATGTTAAATAAGACTTAAACGAAACCTAAATTAACCTTTGACCAACCGTAAATAATCACTTAGTAAGTAAACCATAGGCCAACCCTAAACGAACCCTAAACCAACCCTAAATGGCCCTAAGTCAACCGTAGTTAGTCTCTAAACCAGCTTTAAATACCAAACCAAGCCTCAATCAACCCCAAACCAACCATAAACAAACTTTAAACCAATACAAATTTGAAAGCAACCATCAAAAATGATAGGTTCGAACTCCAAAGTGTTGCAGATGCTGTCGAAACGTTAGCGTCGAACTCCAAATGTTTACAACAGCAACACGTTAGCAAAACATGCGAATGTGCGATTTCCAGGTCCAATGTTCTGCAACAACCTTACGGGCGAGAGGCCCGACTTCCAAAACGATGCAAATACCACCGAAATGTTCGGTTTTGTATCCAAACTGTTGCAAAGGCCATAGAAAACAAGGGATCCCAGGGGATTTTGTTTGATGCCTTAAATATTTTTTTGATCCCTCACCCGCCCATGTGTCTTCAACAATGACAAACTCAAAGCGAGGTGTTAAAGGGAACCTTTGCCTTGCTATTAATATACTGTTGTTTGGCCTTGCATGCTGAACTTGTGACATTTAATTCTAGCAAACTGTTCAGTTGGCATTGCAGGTTGATTTTCGAAATACGTAGAGCAATCAACCTGTGAAACAAAACGGCGGGACTGTTGCATCTGATGCGCAAGTAGGCACCTTAGTATCTTTGAATGTGATGCCAGCTACTCCATGAAGCCCTGGCTCGGGTGGTCATCATCATAGACATTGGATGATTGTGAATTATATATATATAACTATATATATATATATGCCATATGTATAATATATATACATATGTGCACATATAAGTTGACTAAATATCATTCCCCATGAAATTGTATGAAATTATGTGAAGTGACACTTCATGGGTCATCAGCAGATTTTGGCTTCGCAGCCGTGGTTTGGGGTGCAGAGGCGGCAGAGGCGCAATGAGCGTATGCAACGCATCAGTTTTCATCGCGACCAGTTTGGATGGTTTCATTGCAAAGACTGATGGCTCGGTTGATTGGTTGATGCTTGGATGGCTTAGTTCGTTTCAATGACAGCCAGTGAGAGAAAATCAGATGTTTCAAGATTCATCATGATTCATCAAGGTTTTGCACTTCCCATGTGACGGGGTGGTCCCCCTCTGAAAGTGTCTCACTGACATTTCTCACTGGAAACTATCAGCGCGTGGCAGTCCCATTGGTTCTGGTCCAGGAATGAGTTTCACTCCACTCTGCCGGAGGGTGACGACGGAGGATTCCACGAGTTCATGGCGTCAGTGGATGCCCTGGTCATGGGCAGGAAGACCTTTGAATCAGTGAGGGACATGGAGGCAAGGCATTGCAGGGCAAGGCATTGCAGGGCCAGGCAAGCTGCAATGGCCTGCAATGGCATGCATGCCTCTTCGCATTTTCCTGAAGTTCTGGGTGAGATAAATTCCAGGGTTCCACATAGGAATTTAGAAGTAAACAGTCAACAGTTGTCAGTTATTGACATTATTGACATCACTTCTGCGTCTGCATGTACGACGGGCACAAAGGCGGAGTTTTCAACCCTCCACTGCAGGGTGGGCCATGGCCCTACGGTGACACGCCAGTGTGGGTCCTGACAGCAGCAGGCGTGGAAGTGCCAGAGCGCTTAAAGGGCGTCTTGGCAGACCGGGATTTTGCAGCTTAACCACTTTTAATACAGCGAATGCACCTCAAAGTTTGACGAGCCAACGAGAGTGCAGCAGCCGGCTGGCAGCCAAAGTGGCTGTATACTCAACAATAGAACTGGATTCTTTTCGTGATTTGCATGTTTTGCCTTCTTTAGCTCCACCTTGAGGAAAGGTGAAATTGACGAAGGGCTCACCGCAGGAGTGCGACGAGAGATCATGGCTTTCAGGGGTTGGGAATCCACATGTAGATAAGGCACATGGAAGATCACGAAAGAGCCAGATTTGGGTGCAGGGATTCCAGTGACACTTTGGGATGTTGAGCTTCATGCCCCTAGAGTCGAGTGGTTTGAATCTGATACATGTAGCGTGATGACGTCATGGAATATAAATGTGGAATATAAATGAACATCACGGATGGATATAGATTTGTGATGATTTGTGATCATGTGTGGTGTTGTGATATTACCGGGGTCTTCGACTCAAGATCATCTTGAAGGCATATCGTGAGTGGCGCCCGCTGCACAAAACACACTTTCTACATCTTTCTACTTATATCCAGTGATTTGATACTTGTATAAGACTAATTCATGCATTGCTGTTTTGCCTGCGCGCCAGCTCGCTTTTTGCATAGTTTCTTCTTCTTCTTCTCCTTCTTTTTATTCTTCTTCTTGCTTCTTCTTCTCACAGTACCTCTTCTTGGTTTTCAAGTCTGGAGGGGCCTTTCCGGGTTGGGATGCTTTTACACCTTGTTTTGGCATGTTGGTAAATTTCATTTGTTTCCATTCTGCACAGTGCACTTCGTCTCAGCACACCGTGAGGAGATCCTCACAGAGCTGGCTGCCAGCGGGGCCAAGGATGTCTATGTTGATGGGGGCGAGACCATCCGCGGATTTCTGGCCGCAGGCCTCCTCACCAGGAGACTGGCTAATGCCTGTTCTGTGCTTGGTTTCAACGCTGATGTTGTATCCTGTGGTATCCCATGGTATCCCATGGTATTCCTGGGTTCGGTTAGCGGCGAGAGGGACATCATTGATCAAAGGAAGTGTGACGGGTTTCCTCTTGCTTGCGCTATTCCTCCAGGATCATTATCAGCAAAGTGCCCATTACTCTCGGAGAGGGGCGACCTCTCTTTACTGAGGAGCAGGCGTCTCAAATCAAGGAGATTAGTTCGAACCCCCTAAGCTGCGGAATCGTACAGGCGACCTATGCTTGCAAATGAAGCGGGAAACTGTTCATAGTTTACAAAATCTGAGCGCTTGAAATCCGGAGCGCTTGGGCCGCTTAGAGTGCCAAACTGTGCAGAATCTATGGCCTCCAGAGATTCAGGAGCCATTTTTGCGTGGCAAATGTGCCTCAAGCATCCTCAAGCCCTGCTTCACGTCATGTTAATAGTACGAATTCCTCCTGGTAGTTGTTGTTGTCGTTGTCCTTGTGTGGTTGTGGTTTGTTCCATGTTGTTCCTATTGCGCTTGTGCTTGTGGCCGTGAACCATGAGGGCAATGATAGTGCCGCTACCTTTGAGACTTGCAGCAGGGGATGTGCGCGCACACTGTCACCTGCGCACGTTGTTTTCTGCATTGCCTTCACCCAGTGGTGGCAGGGCTCCAGTCAGGGTAAAAGCACGCAGGATTGGATGCATACAGATTGAACAAGGTCTCAACACCTTTCAACAACGGAGCATGGTCTGGTGTAGGCAGCTCATCAGTGACAGAAGCCAGTTTATTTATTCAACATTACTCCAGATTCCTAGATGACATTATCGTATTGCCACAAACGGGGGCGACCATCCACGACCATCCACGACCATCCACGACCATTTTTCAAGATGTCAACATGTGAAATCTCAACGTGGAAATCTTGGTGAAACACACAGAGCCGGTATCGCTCCAGAATCCGACAGCGCGGGACCCGGGACCCGATGGAATGGCATTGCCAGCATGGCTCACGGCAGATGCCAAGCTGGTTTATGCGCCTCAGCTCAGGTGAATATGGTGAATGTTTCGTGAATATTGAATGAATGTTTGAATGAATGTTGTGGAGTGACACGCAGTGACATGTGGTGATGGTTTGAAGATGTTTGAAGCTTGCACATGTGCCACTGTCAATGCTTCGAACATGTTGGCACTGAGGTTTCCAGATCATCTGGCAAGGAAATGGATGTGGTCGTCAAACACATCTCCATGTCAAAGAAGACTGCCACTCGATTTGCAGCAGGGTTCTTTGGAGAACTCTTTCCAGCCACTAGCAGCAGCGTGAGTTTGTTTGAGGGTCATTGATGTTGTGGGCTTTGTGGATTGCTGCCATTGCATGCCATCGTCATAGATTGGAAAATTGCTATTGAGCATCAGCATGTGCCAGGTATTTATTGTTTTCGCCCGTGATGGCACCTGGTCCGCAAAAGGTGCCGTGATTTGAAAGCATTCGACTGCGAAGTCAGTCAAAAGCGTAGATGCCGCTGACAACAATTATATATATACTATTATATACATAGTTATACATATATATATATGTATGAATACAATAGTATATTAATATATTAGTATATTAATATATTAATATATTAGTATATTAATATTATATTGATATATTAGTATATGAGTATATTATAATATATTAATAGGTGAATATGTTTTTATATATCAATATGTTAATATGTTAATATGTTGATGTATTAAAGCATATACATACACTATGTAACTTAACATATATATATATGCATGCTATATTTGCGTATTTGCGAAGGTGATGTTTGATACTGCCTATGCTTGGTACCGATGGAATCTGACAATCAAGAAGGTGTTCACTCGAAAATGCCTTTGGCTTTGGGGTATTGACAATTTGCTGAGGCAAGTCTGAGATGCAAGTCCCATTCGATCAAATTATGGGAAAGAGCAATCCTCTGAAGCTGCCAGATGTTGCAGCTGTTGAGGCCGGATGTTTTTTGGGGTTGAATGCCGTTGTGGGAAGCGTGGCACAAGGGGCAGAGTTGAGAGGCCTTAGGTATTGTCAAGGGTACTCATACATACGTATATACATACGTACATACGTACATACATAATCATACATAATCATACATAATCATACATAATCATGCATAATCATACATAATCATACAGAATAATACATAATCATACATAATCATGCATAATCATACATAACCATACACAATCATAATTAATCATACATAATCATACATAATCGTACATAACCATACACAATCATAATTAATCATGCATAATCATACATAATCGTACGTAATCATACACAATCATAATTAATCATGCATAATCATACATAATCATACATAATCATACATAATCGTACATAATCGTACATAATCGTACATAATCGTACGTAATCGTACGTCATCGTACCTAATCATACATAATCGACATAATCATACATAATCATACACAATCTTACGTAATCATACGTAATCATACATATTCAGACATAATCATACAACATCATACATGCATACCACAACATAACATCATATAACATACACATACACATACACATACACATACACACACACAGACATGCATACATACCTACCTACATACCTACCTACATACCTACCTACATACATACGTACGTACGTACCATGCATGCATGCATCAATCATACATACATACATACATACATACATGCAGTACATGCAATACATGCAATACATGCAATACATGCAATACATGCAATACATGCAATACATGCAATACATGCAATACATGCACACATGCATTACATTACATTACATTACATTACATTGCATTGCATTGCATTGCATTGCATTGCATTACATTACATTACATACATACGTACATTCCCGTTGTCCTGCTTGGTTTGACACCTGTTTGACTGATGGAGGATGAAAACGACAAGTTCTTTGATGATATGGAAGGCTTTGGGCAACAGTTGATACTTGGGTAGAGCTTCCGCACCTATGCGCATTAGGCATCCTTTCTGCGAAGGTTCGACACGCACACACACACACAGGACATTGAAGGATTGGGAACTGGATAAATGCAGATGGGCCAAACACTAGGGACATATGTTTGAACATGTTCGAACAGAGTCATGAATGTGCAGAGAATTTTCATGATTTCTCCGGGCGAATTCTCCTGTCGCCTTGCAGGTTCGTGGTTTCATAAGACCCAGAACCTTGATCCTAAGGTGCCCGGCTTTGAGGAACGATTTAGCACTGCCTTGGCGTCTTTGTGTTTGCATATTATGTATATACATGCAACTACATGGCACTACATGCAAAACTATGTTGTAAATAAACTGCTAGAACACATGTGTCTGTACACATTGATATACATAATAGTCATATGCATACATATACAATATACTATATATATATAATTACATCTAAAGTATGTGCATATATTTGTGGTTATGGAGCCCTTGGCCCAGGTGGCCTTGGGTGCAGACAAGAACAAGTTCGCGTTTCAAGGCAAGTGGGAGATCTGGGGAGATGTTCTGTTTTGAATCTGAAGATTGTGCTCGGGTGTCCGGTGGGCGCTTTCCCATGACAGGGCCAGCTGCCCCACCAATGATGGAAGTGCTCAGTATCTGGGACTTTTCCAGACTTTTCCGAAACTTTTTCGGTATGAAAAATCTGGATGGTATGATCTGCAGTGGCTCCTGGAGCACTTGACACCACTGGGCGCACCAATGCCCAAGGTAGCCCTGAGGTGGAGGAGCCCAGCACCGAGCGGAGGACAGCTTGAGTCAAAGTTACATCGGGTGTGCCATATTGAAATACATCGGAATGGAATGAGTTTTGGAACAATTTATATAGTAGTTATTTACTGCATTTTCTTTTAGTCCTATTTGTTTATGATTCATGATTATTTGATTACATATTTTACTGTATATATATATCTCTCTCTCTCTCATTTGTGTTCGTTGATTCCAAATTGAACTTTAGGGTTGGCCTTGCGGGACAGCCTGTCCACCAGGAAGGAAAAGAAACAGAAGGCTGAAGCCGGAAAGAGCAGCAAGAAAAAGGCTGAGTCCAATGATTCCTGAAGGGCAGCAGCCAAAACCACATACAATCATGACGGCATATGACAGTATAACGCACTGACTCAATGACAACTAGTCAGTTCTCCGAGCCGGCTGCAGGTCTCAAAGAGTGACCAAGACCTTGCAGAAAAAAATGACGGTCTCTTTGCTGCAGGTGCTTCAGGTTAATTGCAGATACATGACGTCAAGACATGTCAAGACGCACATATTCACCAGAAGGGCCAGTCTGCGTTGTCATAACTTGTGATGGTGTTGTCATGATGATCTTGAATCATGATGATCATGATGCATTTCAATTTTCCGGAAGCTTCCACTGTGAGTAAGGCAAGCGAAAGCAGAAGCAGGACGCTAAGGCCGCCCATCCAGCTCCCGAAGCCACAAGCTGCACGAACGAATGCATTTGCAGCTTCAAAAACGTTTGCTTTGTGGGTGCAAGGAGCCCAAGAAAGCCAAAAAGAGCAAAGTGAGCTGAAGAGTGAAGAGCCTTAGTTCAGAAATCCTACGCGCCAGCTCTAGAGAACAGTGAAGACATCGGTAGTAGAACCTCGTCCTGACATCAAAGCCATCAAAGCTCAGAGATCAAAGGCCATAAAAAGGGGAACAATGACAAGGGAAGTGCAGGAGTGCCAATTCTTGAGATATCTTGAGATGGTTCTTGAATACATTTGAATACACTATATACATTCTTCATCATTCTTCCATATTCCTCCAACACCAAATGCGCAAGAGATCCCCAGTACACACAAACATATACATATATATATATGTATATGTATTATTTATATAATAATATACATACAGCACACTATGCCAAGATATAGTCCAGAGCCAATTGCCAAAGATGCAGCTCAGTCGATGAACTCGATGCAGCACCCAACAAAAAGGCCGACAAATTGAACGGACTAGGTCGTCCTGCCATGGTCGACCAGACCACTGGAGAAGAGCCTTTAAGATGTCGAGCAAAAGCGTGTTGTTTCAACATCAAAGTCGAGAGCCGTGGTACGTTTTATTTTCCCATCTACGGAGGTAGTGATATCAGACTTGCAATGGGAAAATGGGCGTCGTTTCCTAGTTACTAGTTGCATGGCTCTTGCGGCACCTACATTTGCCCACAGAAGCATGATCGTTGATGTTTTTGGTCATGGCACAAGGGCGCTGGAGTGGCAATAGGTATATATGTTCTTATATGTTCTATTCGCTCACTGCAGACCTGGAGAAAAGATGGGCCAAGTGAGCCATGGACACACCTGGAAAGAGGCCATCGCCGCGTTATGATGGACAGCAGGCGGTTTTTGAGCCACGCACTCGATAACACCAGTTTACCTCTTGACAACTGCTGAGCAATTATCATATTAAATCAAACGGTCAGGCACTATGAGCCACTTGATTCTCTCGGGGCACTGTGTTTCCAGCAAACTTGTAAACCTCATACAGGTAGTCAAGCGGAAAATGCAAGACCAAAGGTCGTGATTGCCAGTACCAAAGCACAGCTTAAGGCTTCTACCGTCTTTTTTTTACTATAATGTGAATTTAATCCTTTGAGGACATCAATTGGCTAATTCGGGGGCTTCATCACCAAATTCACAGACAAGGAGGAATTACTTCGGAATTACTTCGGCATTTCAGCTTGGCCTGGCCATGGGACCTGCCATGGCTTTCAACGAGGGCAATTGCCTATGGGTCCGCGGGATCCCAATCGATTGCCAAAAAGAGGATTTGCTGAAGATCTTCAGGAGCCAATGGTCATTGTCAGAATCGAGATCATTTGGCAACTAAGCTGCCGGGTCCCAAGGGTTAAAACTTACATCATGTTTCTTTGTTTCGTCAAGTGTAGAAGACTCGTGCAGACCCGGGTGCGAGCACCCTCGCGCATCCTCTCCCTACATTTGTGACAATTTTCTGCAGTCCGGCTGTGTTTCCAGGCCCTGCAGACATGATTCAAACATGAAACCTTCCTTCTCAACCTGACTAACCGCTTTGGATTCACATGATTGACAGAATCCTTGGTGCGTTGCTGGATTTCATCAGGAGTTATGGACGCGTAGCCAACGTTCATATTCCGAACGAGCCATTGACAAGATGCCACAAAGGCTATGCTTTCGCAGCAACCTCAGTCCAGCTGCCGAAGCCGCGATCAGCTCGCATTTCTCAACAATGTCCTGGGACGATGTTGGAGGATTGCACGCGGTAATGTGAAACTCGAGGCGAGATGTTTCCCAGGTAGAACCTTATAGGGTCTTACAAGATCTTACAAGATCTTACAAGTGTATCAGGGGTCATTCAACATGGATTCCTTTGTATTGCATGAGGCCAGCATGTTCAAGTCTGGCAGTGCAAGGAAAGGACACGCATGCCCTTGTTCTTGAACATGAACTCTCAGAATCCATCGGGCTCAAACTACAGGCTTCGAACAGTGCCATTTGCGAAAACCCCGCAATCAAAGGTTTGAACTTTTGAACGACTCTCTGACCCAGTGGAACGCCGCTGCATTGGTGTGTAGAGATTTTACTTCTTCGTAAGTTTGCATGTCGCAAGAGTCAGGTCACAATGACTACTTCCTCTGAGGCGCAGGAGCGTTTGATCGGGTGAAAACACTTCTTCTCCTGAAAGGGAAACCTGCCGTGATCTGCCGTGTCACAATTTTGTTTCAGCCGTTGCCTCATGCTGCTGAACCCTTTGCTTCTTGGATCATGATATGTACAACTAGTATAGAGGTTGCAATTTGCAAGGACTGCATCCGTGCATTGCACTGTGCCGAGTTGGGAGGTGTGGGGCAGCTGAGAAGGGTTTTTTCAATGTAGTTATGTCCGATTCTTTAGATACAGCATGGTCAACTGCTGATCCAATGCTGATGTGGAATGATCTTTCTTTGTTGATGCTGTTTTGGAATTAAAGTTTGAAAAGGGCATTAGTTTTTTTTGTGGCCGAGTCTTTCTTATATAAATCTCTGTTACTGGCAAGGCTGCGGGCTGCGGGCGGCATGAAATATGAACTTGAGCATCAAGCTTATCAAGCTCTCTAATCTCTCTAGCTAAATGACACACGTTTTTCCCCGAGAGCGCCTGAGCGTAGGGTTCTTCTAAAAAAAGGAGCTGAGATTTTACATCTTCACATCTTACATCTTCACATTTGAACATCTTACGCCGTCACATCTTACATCTTCACATCTGAGATCTTCACATCTTACATCTGCACATCATACGCTTCACATCTTACCTCTGCACATTTTACATCTTCACATCTTACGCTTGCACATCTTACACGTTCACATCTTACATATTGACATATTGACATCTTACATCTTACATCTGACACATCTGACGCATCTGACACATCTTCACATCTTCACATCTTCACATCTGACATCCTCACATCTGACATCTTCACATCTGACATCTTCTCTCTCTCTCTCTCTCTTCTCTCTCCTCTCTCTTTTCTCTCCTTTTCGCTCTCGTCTGCTAATTGTTTTCTCCCTTGTTTCTCTTCTCTCTTAAGGCTGGCAGTGGCAAAGAGCGATCACGCAAATGCGACCCTTGCGCACGCAATGAGGGTCGATTGTCAAAAACTGACAGAATAATTGCGATTTTGAGTTGTCCTGCGCAACCCTTTCGTACAAAATGATCTTCGATGTCTTGTGCCGCAGCAAGTTCCGCAAGCATAATGTGAAGTTTTCGTGCGAGCTTTCTGGTACAATGTAGTGCTGGGAAGTACTTTCTGCAAACTTTGTAGCACAAAGTAGTACTGGGAAGTACATCGTGCGAGCTTTGTAGTATGAAGTAGTACTGGGAAGTACTTCGTGCGAGCTTTGTAGTACAAAGTAGTACTGGGAAGTACTTTCTGCAGTACTTAGTGAAAGCTTTGTAGTGCAAACTAGTACTGGGAAGAAGTACTTCGTGCGAGCTTTGTAGTACAAAGTAGTACCGGGAAGTTTTTCCGCAAGCTTTGTAGGAGTAGTACTGGGAAGTACTTTCTGTGCAAGCTTTGTATTACGATGTAGTACTGGGCCCCTCTCGCCCCTTCTCGTCCCCCTCTCGGAAGTTTGCGCAAGCTTTGTTGTGTCAAAGCGTATGTGTGTAAAAGCGTCCGTGTGTAAAAGCGTTTGTGTGTAAAAGATTGTAAAAGTGTCCGTGTGTTCAAAAGGGTCCGTGTGTCAATGCTTCTGCGTGTTTAAACGTCTCTGCGTGCAAAAGCGTCTGGATGTAAAAGTGCCTGTGCATAAAAGCGCGGGTGTGTAAGAGCGTCAGTGTGAAAGTCTGTGTATAAAAGCGGCTGTATTTTAAACCGTCTTAGGTGTCGATGTGAAAAGTGTCTGTGTGCAAAAGCGTCTGTGTATACAAGCCTGTGTGTGCAAAAGCGTCGGTGTGTGAAAGCGTCACTGTGTAAAAGGTGTTTGTGTGTAAAGGCGTCCGTGTACAAGCGTCTGTGTAAAAGCGTCTGTGTGTAAAGGCATCTCTGTGAAAATGCGTCTGTGTGTAAAGGTGTTTGTGTGTAAAAGCGCCTGTGTGTAAAAGCATCCGTGTGTAAAAGCGTTCGTGCGTAAAAATTGCTTTGGGTAAAGGCGTCCGTGTGTAAAAGTGCCTCTGTCTGTGTGTGTGTACAAAGGTGTTTGCGTGTAAAAGTTGCTGTGTGTAAAAGTGTTTCGTAAGAGCGTCTCTGTGTAACAGCATCTGTGTGTAAAAGTGTCTGTGTTACATCTTCACATCCCACATCTTCTCCATTTTTTCTTTGCTTCGCCCACTCTCTTTTTTACCACCCTGTCTCCTTCATACAGCCTCTCCCTTGCAATGTTTATCTTCTTGCTTTCGTTCTGCTCTCTTCAACTTTCATCTTGACATTTTGACATTTTGCCTCTTTCATCTTTCTGATGATCAGCTGCTACATGTTCCATTGTTATCATTGCCTTTTCTTCTTCTACTTATAACGTGCTGCTCGTATAACGTACTTCTTACATAATATTCATTACATTGTGTTTATACTTACACTCCTGAGTAACAGTAACTTGCTTCTTTACGCTCTCGGGCCATCCGTCGTCTAGTTTTGGTGTGGCCCGTGTCCTGAATAGATATCAGAATATATCAGAATCAGAATGAATCAGATATCAAAATTATCAAATTGGTTATGTTCAGTTCAATTTGCACGTCGGCTCTTGGACTGCTTTGGCGCAGGTCAACGGCTGCTGGTTGAAGTGGCAAAGCGTTCCACTGCCTATGCAAAGACACCTGGCATCTATCTGGGCACAACAAGCAGGAACCGCAACTGGCAACACGGAGGGGCTTAGAGCTTGAGACAGGCCGCGAACTGAAACTCTTGTTCAGTAGAGGCGTGATTTGACCGATAAATACTTTGGACAAAGATGTTCAAAGATTGCTCCTGCACAAAAGTGCTCCTTTTGTGTGTGCAGCATGATGCTTCAAGCTTTGAGGAGCAGCAGCCGACCCGCGGAACCGGGGCTTTTAAGAGACGAGGCCCGCACAGTTACTATAGAAAAAACCCACGACTAGTGACAAAGCCTGAACGAGAGGTTTCGCGCGGCACAGTGGATTCAGTCAAGTGCCACGAAGTGATGCTATACAAGTAAAACTTTGGGTAGGCCTGGGCTCTCGTACATTTCTTGAGGGATGCAGTCCGGGATGGAAACAGTGAAAAAACTTGAAGTCACAGACTTGAAATTGAAATGCATCATATTGCTGATGGCAGCATGTTCGCTGCGGCAACAGGCTGCCCTTGCAGAACCTCTGTCAGAGCCAGCTTCAGCAGCTGCCACCTTCGGCACCTTCGGCTTCCCATCAATGGAACCAATGGAGCCAGGTGCCACGACACAGTCATCAATTTTTCCAATTTTTGTCGTTAGTGTTTAATGGTTTAACGTGTTTCCAAGTGTTTCCTATATTTCCCAACAGCCTCTTCAACGTGGTCAAAGCCTTGCCGAAAGTGCAACCAGATTTAACCAGATATCCGGCTTAGTAGTTACCTTTGCTTAAGCAGGTTCAATCAGGCGGTGCCAGTGTTGCATGTACAGGCGGGGAACCTCTCACCGAGGAGGACCCTGTCCCATCGCCGTTTCGCAGGCCCTGGGTTTCTTTTCCATCTTTTTGTTTGTTCGAGTCACTGGCTTCAGGTAAAGTGTTCACCACTTTGCTCCACTGGCCCCACCAGTTGTAAGTGGCTTATGTTGTCCAGCTGTCATTCTTAGAGTGAGGTGACGTTTGATTCTCACTACACATGCAGAGAATGGAGACAAGCACCACTGTACATGTGTCATTCCCTTTCTGATCTTTTCTGTACATGATATGATATACGTCTAAATAAGAGAGAGATGTACGCACACTGCACATACGCATATGCATACATAATTGCACATACACAATCACACACACACAGAGATAATATGCATTCCTGTAATATCACTTTTAATCATGAACCGTGTCGAGATGCATACTGACAGATGCATTATTCTATTCACATAGCTATGCGCATGGCATTTTGCAGATATTTGTTTCAAAGAAATAACTCATATATGGACACATGCAATCTAGGTAACTACATAGGAATATCATGATTCCTTTTCTACGCAAGATATGTTTAAGCTGCCAGAAAATGTTTGCTTGAGATTGACAGATTTGACAGGTGTGAAGAGCCTCCAATGCCTTTGAAGTCCAAAGAGGTGTCCAAGAGTCCGAGGTGAGGATGCGAATGCTGCAAATATCTGCAAATTATGATGTGTACACTTACGACTACTTGTGGAACTTATGGGGACACAGTTGTGTCTCAAGTTTGTATACGATTGTTTCAATATGATTCAAGATTCCTCTATGATTCCTCTTTGCTTCATTCGGGGTCGAGCATTCGGGGATTTTTTGGGAGCCATTTTGGAAATGCAAGATCTCCATTAATGCTCCAGAGTAGCTGGGCATGGGATCTCGCATTGTTTCATGACCGTGCTCGCTGGACAAGGTCACGCATCAGCCAGTTGGAGGCCGCCAATGTGCGAGCGGCAGCACAGCAGACGGCCGACTCTCTTCTGCTCCAATTTCAGCGGCAAGGCCGGAGAGGATGCGGTAGTCCAGACTTTCGCAGGGTCCGTGCAGACAGAATTCTTTAGCGCTTCAATATGTCACTCAAGGATACTCAAGGTTTATAACTGAAGTTAACCCACGGGCATGAAAAACATGCAAAACTTCCTTAAATTTCTGCAAGATGGCGGATGTTTGCGCCGTTTGCTTGGACTATAGATGACTATAGTACACATTCAGGGTTGAGGGTGGGTTGGCTGAGGTTTTCCGTTTATATACAGTGTTTACTTTCGGTGGTGGCTTCATACATACACAGGATGATCAGTCACAGGACACATTTGCTCCGCCGCCATGCTATGATTGAGGGATATTGAGGGGCCTTCACAACAACATGCACGCTGCACGCTGATGCAAACCATTGTCCAGTTGTTTTCACGAATTTCTCAGTCAAATTGCAGTACTTAGTTGGAACAACAGCTGGGTTGGCTCAGGTTTTGCAGATCCGCACCATGCAGCGCCTTGGTTGCCAATTCCCTTCCCAGACAGGAGCTGTGTACTCTTATACTTATACTATCTTATACTTATACTATAATTAGTTATCTATGTTTATAATTTATGATGCATTGTAATATGTATATCGAATTCTTTTCCTGCAACGCGTGCTAGATTCAATGTGAAGGAATGCCCGCGCACGGGATGTGCTGAGAAATCTGAGCATTTTGGGTGTGCTAAGCAGCACCAGTGGCATCTAACAGAGACGGACTGAAGTCGGTTCCAGCTGCTGGAGAGTTTTGCCTCTGAATCGATTGGTATCATGTAGCAAATGCAGTGTTCATATGTGTTCATTACATTGCTGACGCAAGTAGTGTCCAGCATTTTGCGCGACACCGGTTACACCGTTACACCTTTTGCACCGGCTACACCGGACAAGCGTATTACCCTGCAAGCTCGCACTCAGCATAACAGCGTATCAGCCTCGAACCACGTCCGGACACGCATTGCCACAACTCTCGTAAATTACACGGGAGATCGCGTGACATTTGCTTATTGTATTTCATTGAATTGTATTGCATTGCTATTGTATTGTATGATGACACACGTGTGTGTATACATACTTGGGATATCTTGGGATATCTTGGGATATGGGTCGGCTATGGTCAACTGTCGACTGCGACTGGGGTTCAAGGCTGCGCAATGCCTGCAACGATCCTTGGAGCTGCTGGGCTCTGGCCCAACCAAGGCGGCGCAAGTCACCAGGGCGGTGGAATGCGGTAGATTTTTCATGCAGATTCATGTGCACGTGCAGCAGATCTGCAGATGTGCAGCACTGCCAAGCCAAAGCAATTTAGGAATGCATATCATAAAACATTTTAAAGCTGGTCTGAAGTTGGACTCGTTTTGGCATGACAGGAGCATTTTGGACCTTTGAAGGAGGACTTCTCCCAACGCGGTCCGCAGGAGCAGTCAAGCTCGCATTGAAAACGTAAACAGCCCATGCAAGCATCCTTGCCTAAGTCTCTATAGTTTTTGCTACAGTTCCCACCCAAAGCATGAAGTCCATCAAGTACACCGAGTGATGTAGATACTAAACTGACTTAACTGGGCGCGAGCCATTGTTTGCTTTCCTGCGTCCACTAGTAGGATAAAGATGATCAAAGATGTCATCTTGTAGGCAGTGGTTGTGCCCGACGAGTTCAAGAACCCATCAACGTTTTTGTGCACATCTTAGTGACTTTTAGTGTCTTGGTGACTGTTAGTGACTGTTAGTGACTGTTAGTGACTGTTAGTGACTGTTAGTTGGTGACTCTTGGTCTGTTTGTCGTGAGCACGGTGCAGTTCAGCCAACTCAAACGAACTTCACTTCCGAATGTGACGCCAAAGCTACGGGAAATGCAGAGCTGAGGCGAGTCTATGGAGATCCTGCTGTCAAGGGTTTGTCCGGTTTGTCCAGTTTGTCCCATCATAGGCCTGAGAGCATGCAGGACCGTCCGCAGTCAGTCCTTGACATGTACACACGTGTACAAGGTTTTTATGTGTTTTTATTACTTCTCTTCTTCACGATCATGGATGATAATGGCAGATCAAGTTTGCTTGTTTGGACGAGGCTAAATAAAGGCCGGTCGCCCAACCAAAGTGGAAAGCCTAATGCCAACGGTCCAAACCAGAAACCCACCCTGGGTGGGAGCTACAGCTGCCAGTTGCTCAAGCCCCAAGGTGCAAAGGTGTCGCCATGGCTCCGAAGGTGGCGGAAGCCAAACCCAAACCCAAAGCCCAGGTCAGAGCGGTCAGAGCGGTCGCTCCAAAGCCAGCAATTGCCAAAGGCAAAGGAAGAGCAGCGCCTGCGCCAGCAGCTTGGATCAGTTCGGATCCACTTTGTGCTGACAGCTCGCTCTTATAGGAATTCCATTGTCATAGTGGAAGACGGTTGCAGACACAGACATGGGGTCCTCACGTTGGATGGATTTGAGGCACAAGTCGCACCCGACGTGCGTGCGCGTTTGCCCTTCCAAGCATTGTGCTTGAAGCTGGCGGGCCAGATGCCGGTGATGCTGATACGCAGCCTTGTTTCGAAGGGTGTCATTCCACCTGAGATGGGTTTTGGGCCAGCTGCCCCAGCACCAATGTCATTGGAAGAACTGCGCCAAAAGACGCAAGAAACGGTGACTGGCGCTCTTCAGCAGATTCAGGGCTGGCGAGATCGAGCAGAACTGATGCAGTGTCTAAATTCGGTTATCCCTTTGGAACGCCTTTCCTGATTTGCAAAGGAAGGCTTTTGGAATACGTTGGATGTGTTTATTTTATCGCATTTCCCTTAGGTGAAAAATGGTATGCAACAAAACCAGGCTGGGCTACATATAATATTATATTAATTACTATATGATCTATATGTATATTACATTACTATAATTTACTACCAGACTGCCTGGTGACTACCCCAAGTTGGCCTTAATGCTGGATCCTCCAGAGGCTTCTCGGAAGCTTGGCGACCTATCCGAGACGCAGCTCTCGAAACATGTGAGGCCATGGCATGGCCGTTAGCTGATGGCCATGCCCTGGTGCTTCTGGAATTCCTCGGTGGTGGTTACGGTGCCTTGGTAGCGGCTGCTTGGGCCATGCGAAAGGAAGCGGGTTTGGATGTGGAAGGGGTCTGGATTGTCAGCCGTTCTTGCGATTGCAACTAGCCAAGTGGCTTTCTGGAACAAATTCAAAGCCGAAGTTTGTTAATTTCGTGCAAACACGTGCAAATTGTATTTAGTGCTTAGCAGCACCTGGATTCACCCTTCCAGATACTTGCAGCCCGCCGGCGAGGATGATTGGGATGCCTACAAAGCCGCTGTTATGGCTAAACCAGTTGAGCCTATCTCTAATGAGAGCCTTTCCTGCAAAACGGAAGTTGTTCGAATTGCGTTGTGATGCGTCGTGTCTAAGGTATACATACATAATCACACGCACATATACTACTGTTGCTAATTAGTCACATGCATTGACCACAACACACTGCAATATCGACATGCTGCACGCGCAAAATATGCATGGAGATTTGTGTGAAGTCGAAGATGTCAAAGTTGGAAGGCTTCTTTTGATGTTGAATTCGGCCTTGACCTGTGACAGGTCTGTGAGCTCGTGTGGTGTGGTGTCCTTATGTGCACTCCATATACGCCAGGACACTTGGTGGAAGGACATCGGATGAATGTTGCGACTTGGCTCATCTTGGCTCTTTCGTTTGGGCCTTACTTGGATTCCTTCTCGACGGAGGATAGTTTAATATATAGTTTCATAATGTTTAATATGTTCATCAAGTTAAGATACAGCTGCAATGCCGCACGATTCCACTGCTTTGAAGTCCTCTTCGATTTGACATATTCGACATGTGACATATGATGACATATGTATATATATACATATGTATACAATTGTATACAGTGACTGTAGCAGCCAAGTTGATAGCCATTTTCTGATGAACAGCATCTTGGAGTCCGCGGATCCTGGACGCGTCAACGGTTTTTTGGCCGCCTTTCCAGATCGTGGCTTCGGGACAGCCGAATTCTTCTCCGTTCCTTGGCCTTTTTGGCCAAAAAGGGCCTTTCCCGGCGACGGCCTGGAGGTTTCCGGTAGACGGGTCCGGGAGTTTCGAAACGATTTCTGGGAGAATTCTCATGGCCGAAGCCAAGAGGGCAACAAGAAGATACATAATAAGTTAATAAGAGAATATTCAGAATACATAATAAGAATACATAAGAAACAAGAAGTCATTGGAACACTGGAACACTGGGGAAGCAATGAACAACAGACGCAATTTGCAGGGCCAAAGATGGCTCCACTGCATTTCTGGGTCGTGAATGAATTCAAAATGGCTTGCGCTGGCTTGTTCTCATGAAGGTCTACGAAATTTTACGAAGTGTCTACAGTAGAGACCGCCACCAGAACACCGAACATGCACTGCTTTCATTGCTCATAACAGTTGAGTCAAAATAGTCAAAGATGTCAAAGTCCCAGCTTTCCACTTTAACCATCTTTAACTCAGGCAATGCTTTCATCTTAATTTAAGAAGTTGTTCTTCCCACTGGTTCAATGTGCATGACTGCAATCACTGGGTATCACTGGTTCCAGATTGTAGCCTTCATGCAGCCAGGTTTTGGACTGCTTGGCGCGGTGACCGTTTTGAGCGGCAGATCGATTGACTGCTTTGAGTGGCCAGTATAATATATAATATTGCAGCGGTCTGAAACTTAGAATGACCAAAAAGATACCGCGTGATTTTGGGGCACATCAAGATACCCCAAGTTGGAGAGGCTTTCGGATGTCAAAACTGCAAGAAGTGTATTTCCTGGCTTTGCTACGGTTGCAATATCTATGGCTTGCTTGAGCTCACGATGCGACATCGTTCAAGTCGAAGATGGCGGTGAAATGCTGTGAAGCCAAGAGGCGGTTCCGATCGGTTCAGCCACCAGGTTGACATGGCTTAGCGTTTCGCACTCAACAGGCTTGTGACGGCTTGTGACGGCTTATGAGATGGCGAGATGATGCGAGATGTGTTTCAAAGCCAAAGGAGAGGTAGACTGTTTCTGGGGAATGCCCGTGCGACTCGTGGGTCAGTCCTGACAAACAGAGCAACCAGACCATTGCATCAAACATCTTGAACGGACATGCCAACTTGATCTGATTTGCATTGCAAGTCCTTGCAAGTACTGACATGATATACATGATCTATCATTATCCATTAGATCCGAACCAGCTGCATGCGATGATATGTGATGACCTGCTTCCATTCTTCGTCGCCTTGCTCAACACAAAGTGTCAATTTGGAAGCTTATGCTGGAACTTGCTCTGAATACAGTATCACAGTATCACTATTATGCTGAAAGCACTAGCCAAGTCAGAGTCTTCTAGATGAACCAACCACCGAATAACCTTGTGTAGCCTTATGTAGCTTCATGTAGCTTTAGGGCCTTATGCGGCCGAAACCTTGACATTGAAGCAACCCCCAGGCCACAACAAACCCATAAGTCCGGAAATCCTAGATAAATAGAACAGTTGGTTGGCCATGCGATGATTGTGGACTTTGCCCACCCTTCCTTGGCGGTGAAGAGAACACTCAAAACGATTCGGCGGAATCGGGCTGCCAGAGACTTGTCAGAAGAGTTGGATGTTTTGGCACGGGCTGTCACCAGAATCAGCAGACTTCTGTGACCGCTGGCACTTCTATTGTTTGAAGTCATGAGGCAGGTGATGCAAGCTCTGTGTGTTTGGGGTGAGCTTCCAGTCCTCTTCATGCTTGGTGGAAAGTATTGGAAGATGTCGGAAGTGTTGCTGCCGTGCTATGCCTTGCTATGCCAACCGCTGAAGGTCGGCTTCTGGTGCTATGCCTTTCTTTCCTCATTGAGCGGTGGATTCTTCCAGCCTTTGTCTCACAGGCCGGGGCTTTGTGAGGCTGCGCTACAAGCTTCACGGGAAACATCAACGGTAATGTTGGTTTAATCGTGATATATCGTGATATCACCAGTATATCACCAATATATCACCAATATTTGATAGTATTTCAATGTATTTAACAGATATTTCCTACCTGTAAATTGGATGATCCCCCAATTTATGAACATCATTTTTGTGATGGCCCAACTCGATTTCAGGTCCGGCCTTTGGCATGACAGATTCACCCCTAACACAGGTTGTTTGGATAAACTGGGACCAACCATGTTGGCCCAATAAGAATCAACAATGTGGTAGGACGAATCCTCTGAGAAGCATTGAGAAGCCCTGGCAAAAATAATTAAGAATCAAATGGTGTGCCAGAATCAGGCTTGGAATGTCTCGGATGACTGTTTCATACTGTTTCATACTGTTTCACAGAGATAAGAGACAAAGAGTGGTTCTTCACTCTTGTTGGCCTTGTTGGCTCAATTTTTGAGTCACGTTCTAGAGCCATAGCTCTGGATATGGAGGGTGCAGAGATTGCCGAGAGTGCCTTGAATGATGCTTTTGACGGTGACCTAGAGGATTTCGAGACGCTGCCGTGCTCTTGGACCTATGTGATCGTGTGCATTGTTCTGCCCTTTCTGACTGGTCAAATAAATGTTTTGCCCACCCCTGGCTACACACTCCATTTTGAAGAAATGGGATGGCCACTCACATCAGCAGGTGCAGCATTTAGCGCTGGCTTTGGGCTACGTATTATTATGCAGCAAGTTGTGCTGCGGGCTGGATACTGGATCGCTGTGCCCCTGTGCATGGTTCACTTGACAATCGTCATATTGGCCCTGATCTACACTACAAGCGAGTGGGCTGTGTGTGCACAGCTCGTAGTTGTTTGGGGCATTGACCCAGCCTGTGCCATTGAAGGCATAGCATTTGATTGCTTTGGTGCTTCAGAAACCCAGGCGAGACAGGCGAGTTCAACGTCACTGTCTATGTCCACTATTAGTATAGCAGTCTCCTGTACCATCGGTGGGCTTATCTATGATGCAACCGGCTGGACGGGTGTCACAGCATATCACTGTGCTCTTGAAGGCCTTCTCGTCCTCTTGTTGTCTCTTCAGCCGGCATGTCGAAAGTCATTCATGGAGGTCTTCTTCCCTAAGAAAGATCCAGAGGTGGAAGCGGCTGAGGATCAGACTGAAACTAGTGGAGAGATGGTCTTCAAACAGGTGGTCCCAGGACAGGCTCAAGCCGTGCAGTTGCCTGGTGCCACTGAAGAGCTTCATCTTGAGGAGGTGGAGGATGAAAACGCGAAGAAGGCTTCGAGCATGCGCAGAAGGCAGGTCAGTAAAGAGAACGACCAGGACGACCAGTCACCTGGCCAAGAGGAATGGGAGATTGGTCTTGCTGTTCTGTGGTGTTATGCTTTGTCGCCGGCCATGAAATGGCATTCAAATCCCCCATGTATAGCTCCCTATAAAGTGGATATCCTTTGCGTATATAAAGTGGGATTCCGGTCGCCACTTTATACACTAACCAGGATAAGGCCGTGTTTTGTGCAAAAAACATGCCCTTGGACCTGGCAAGATGACTTTATGCAACGTTGGTTTTTCATGGTTTTTCAGTTTACTGTATACCCGCTGATTTCCCACAAGGAAATGACTCAATATATGCGGCAATGCACTTTATAGATTCTAGACCCTTGGTTCCCTTCAAAGAAAGGCCACAACAGAACATGTCACACCACCCACTTTTTTGGACACATGTCTCCCCAATGATTTCGAGCCAATATTTTTTCTGTTGAGTTTTATATATAATTACATGGCAAAGCACTTTATAGAGGGAAGATTGCCCTTTAAGAAGGGGACTTTTCCTGCAGCCAGGGCATTTTATAGGAAGAAAGTTCTTGCAGAGCATTTTACAATATTTTACATATAGATACATATAGAACAATTTATTTACACATATTACAATATGTAGAGTGCTGTCTTGGACTTCATTGCATATACAATTAATTATAATCAATTATATATATATACTGTATATTATATAATTATATATATAATGCATCAGTATATATCTAAATCGGATTGAATAGGGAGATTGGTAGATAATTGTTCTGTATGTTAGATTTTGCACGTTGCTTCCTGCAGCTAGAGTTTGGGTGTGATGTGCATGGACAAAAGAACACCTTTTTTTGCATTCGAAACATTCCCACAACACAATGTTTCGCACTGCGGCTTCCTCCCCAACGCAAGTCCCATGCAACATTCCTGTAGCCACCACTTCCCTAAGTCACCACTTCCCTAAGTCATCACCTCGCTAAGCAACCAAAAAAAGTCATTGGTAACTCGGAAGGTTGCTTCCCAATTTCCTTATATATATTATGTCAAAATGATTCGAAATACTTTAGCCTCTGAACTTTTGCCATGTTTGGCACTGTTTTGTTGTTTTGGGTTCCCGATGGCTCCTGGTTTTCTGTGAATTGCGGGCCCTGGTTTCAAGTCCAAGGTCCGAGCCAGACCAAAAGGCAACCTCCTCTGTTCCTGGGCACAGCAAATTTGAGCTGCTGGGGTGTCCCATAACTCTGTCCCACACGCCTTTCCATGGCTGCGCACGAGAGTGCTACAGAGTGCTCATTTGGGGCAGCCATCAGGGTTCCAGCCAGTTTGCCAGTATGATGAAATCTTCTTCAGTAAGGTTCTGCAGGTTATATATGGCCGCAAATTCTCCTCCCAACAGGCTAATTATTAACGGATATGAAAGGTCGACTTACTGTAAAGGTATGGTGGTGAAAGAACGCCCCCGCAGCAGCGATGATGATATTATATGGGTACATATGGGTACCTTGTTTGCTTTAGCCTGGTGCGTTGGCTGCACCCGGACCATTATTGTTTCACCGAAGGATTGAGCAGGTTCAGTCGCAAGATTTGGGCCCCATGCAGAACTCAAAATCATTGGGACGTTTTGCAACTCAGAGACCCCTGCCCCAGGCTCGGATTAGTATCATCTCGCAATCACCTGCTCGCGCACACCGTCGCGGTTCAAACCGTGCCAGTCTTAAGTCGAACAACTCAGCTCATCGCCGCGCTTCGGGACGCTCCGCTCGTGCCAGTATTCAGAGCCGCCAAAGCGACCACACTGAGCAGAGCGCCCGGACTGGCTTCACAGCTTTCACGAGGTCTGTGGGGCAAACCTCGTACAGGTTTCAAGGATAGATGGGTTGCGGACACTTTAAGACCTCTACAGTACTTTTTGAAACTCTTCATTTTTTTTGGTAAAATGATATAAAATGATGTGATATTATGTGGAAAATTGTTTCTTCTTACTACCGGGAGACTCATCACGGTCACAAATACCAGTCAACAATCCCTTGACAAGCCGACTGTAGCTCGACAATCCTGCGTGGTGGAGAAAATAACCAAAGGATCCATGCAGTACTTTTTAGGAAAACTATGCAACGATTTCAAGAACCCTGTGGGAACGGATGTGCTTCGGCAGGGGATCTGCCTTCACTGCTATCACAAAGATGACGGCCTTGTCTCAAGCTGGGGAAGACTTCCGTCACCACTTTGGAACGAGCACGTCCGTGCTACCGCAGATCGTAGGAGCCACAGGACAAAAATCTGTGATGCAACTGGGCAGCAGATTGCCATCTCTGGGGATGTTAGATGCTGCATCAGGCGTCGGAGCTGGGATAATCTGGAATACACTTACCACAAAATCCTGTTCGTTGAAGTTGTGCAGGTGGTGTGCTGAGTCAATCCAGACACAGATTGATGGTCACAACTGACAAACGTAGGGATGTTGTCATCATGAGCAGTTGGAGACTTTAGCTGTGCATAGCAGCTACATTCAGGTTTCAGGCGATTGGGGATTGACCCTTGTGGGGATTGGGACATAGACCAACCAGTAACCAGGGACTATATATATATGACTATATTACAGTTTCCATTTGCAGAGTAGTGACCAGAATCTTGCAGTGGTTCAGTTTGTGGCTTCATCCTCTTAGGCGGCTCCAACTTGAGGATGAGGATGAGGATGAGCATGGAATTGCAAAGCAATCATCTGTGAAAGCTGGCATGAGCGCAATTCCCAAAGATGTGAAGCCTCTTGCATGTGAATCATGGGAAGGATGGAAGAAAGGGTAGGAAGAATGGATCGATTTTCACGATTTCTTCGCTTTGGCTTGCTTCTTGTTCCCGAAGCTCCTGCGAAGGGGTTCCTTCCAAAGAGATCCAAAGAGAGGCTGCCAGTTATCATCTCCAGAATCATCACCATCGTCATCATCATCATCTTCTTCTTCTTCATCTTCTTCATCTTCTTCATCTTCTTCATCTTCTTCATCGTCATCGTCATCGTCATCGTCATCGTCATCACCACCACCATCATCACCATCATGACCATCATCATCATCGTCGTCGTCGTCGTCGTCGTCGTCGTCCTCGTCGTCATCGTCATCGTCATCATCATCGTGTCCTCATCATCGTCATCGCCATGTTCATGGTCATTGCCATCGCCACTGTCATCGACACCAATCATTTTCATCACCAGCACACCATCCGTTTTTCATTGTAGGAGTTCAGATACAAGTAGATCACCTGGAAGTTAACTCCTGTGAAGTTAACTCCTGTGAGGTTAACTCCTGTATAACAACTCCTGTGTAGCAACTGCTGTACAACAACTCCGGTACAAAACTCCTGTGTGACAACTTGTGCCGATGATGTATGTGTTCCTTTTGAATTTGATATTTGTGATGCTGATGAAGTTGACGAAGATGATGTTGATGATGTAATGTATGTGATGTAGATGAAGTTGATGTAGATGCTGTAGACGGTGTAGTGTTTGTTGATGTAGATGATGCAGATGATGCAGATGATGTAAAGGAGATAGGAGAGATGTAGAAGATGCAGATGGTGTATGGGATGTAGACGAAGTTGTTGTAGATCATGTACGTGATGTGAAAGATGTAGGAGATGTTGTGTAGATGAAGTGAGACGTTGAATTTGGTAGCCGTTTTTTGGAAAAAACATCGTAGGAGCAGTCGGGAAAACCCTAAAAAACATCATTTACAGTAATTAAGTAAACCCAAAACTAGCCCTAAAGCAACCCTAATAAACCCCAACCAACCATCCAAAAAACTGTGGCAACTTAAAAGTAAACCTTAACCTTAAACACATACTTAAGTAAATCTGAGACTCTAAATAAACCCTAAGCCAACCCTTGATGGACCCCAAACAATCCCAAATAGATGTTAAACCAAACCTAAACAAACCTTATATAGACAAACCAGAACAAACCCTAACAGATTCTGAAACCAAGCCTAAATAGATCCTAAACCAACCCTAACTAGGTTCTAAGCCAGCCCTAAATAGATATTCAACATTATTCAACCAAACTTAAAATAAACCCTAAAACCAACCCTAGATAGATTTTAAATCACCCCTAAATGGATCCTAAACCAAACCTGAGTAGACACTAAAACCAACGCTAAATAGATCCTAAACCAATACTAAATAGATTCGAAACCAACCCCAAATAGATGCTAGACCAAAGCTAAATATATAAACCTTACATAGATTAAACCAACTCTACATAGATTTTGAAACCAGACCTTCATAGATCCCAAACCAACCTAAACAAACCTTAACCAACCTTAAAGAGATTTCAAACCAAACCTAAATGAACCCTACATGAACCCTAACCCAACCCGAAACAGATTTTAAACCAAATGTAAATAAACCGTAAAACGAATTCTAATAGATCCTTGGTCAATTTAAAAAAAAACTTGGGCAAACTCTAATTCTGAAGCCAACCCCACAAAACCTAAAGCCAACCCAAGAAAAACCCTATATTGACCCTAAAACAAACCCATTCTAAACCAACCCTAGTTCCAATTACAGTTTGCATGAACAGTTCGAGCACCAAAATGCTGCAAATAGCCAGCATGGAACATGAGAGGTTCAAA